ATATTAATTATACATATATATATATATACATATATACATGACTTACAAGTTTTGCATTCGTTTTCAGTTAATGATCCTATGTATTTCACACTATAAACATTTATAATGAAAAAACCAAGAATAATCAAAAGATAAAATCTTAGCAGCATGTTCTTTTTTTAAACTCTGAAAGATATAATATGAGTATATATATATATATATATATATATATGTGTTTTTTGCTCATGACGTCAAAAACTGGTGGGTGTCTATGCTTGAGTAAATAGAAAATAGAATAAATATAATAAATCTAAAGATGTCATTTCTTTTCTTTTTTTGTGAACTCAGACGTAGATTATTAATTATATTGATTAATTAAATAGATATACATGATTAAATCGATTATGTTATTTTCCTGTCTGCTTGTTGATACAAACAAAACGGTAGATATTTTAGACGAGATTACTATTATCTTACGATAGACTATTGAAAAAAAGAAAAAAAAGAAATTTGCTTTCTTCTATGCAGTATATTTAATCTAGAGTAAACGATATCAATCATATGCGTGTTTTTTTGTTCTCTTCTTATCATATTAAGGTCATTGTGACGGTCTATATTATTTGAATTTCGTTATTATACAATCAAAGCAATTCTTCTTTTTTGTTGTGCAATTCACTTTCATTTAATGATGATATATATGTGAAAAAGTAGAATTATTTCATGATCTTAAGTGCAATTTTGTTTGTGAAAGATAATCTAAAAATTTGTACATACTTAAAGAAAAGATGTCATTGAGTTATAGTTGATTATTTTGAATGATATTTAGTATAGAAAATATCTATTATAATTTAATATAGCACGCTATAAATCAGATTATGATTATAAGTCTAAGAAAAACATGCTAGATTTTCACAGGTCAAGAAAGTTTAAAATTTGAAACTTACTCTTAAAATGAATATTTATTTAACTTAACTAAAGGAAAATTTATGTGATCGGATTACAGTTGTATAAGAATTGTAATCATAAATAACATCTGAAAGTAGATATGACATCACTTTTTATTAAATGTACTGAATCTAAGATATCGATTTACCAGGTCGTTCGTCAGCAGAGTACTTGAATAGATACTCTATTATCAGTAGGCTAATCGACTATGGTGATTCTGAATATTAACATAATTTTTATTGCTAGATTCTTGAAGATTCAGTTTTCTCAAAAATCAGTTTGTTGTAGCGAATCTCTCTTGTTCATAGAGTACCGCGAGTTGCATATGAAAAACTTTTTTTGAAATTTGAATTATTACGCAGAGAATTAGACTGTAAAAAAGTGTTATTTGTTATTATTTCTTGTCCTTTTGTTTCAATGCTGACATTCTAGCTATATGTTTTATCACTAATTTTTTTTCCTTGTTCTTCAGGTTTTCCCGTTCAACTTTGTATCTATTTTAAGCCATATTATTATAACTTATTCTTGTGCTCTCTTAATGAAATCAATTTATGATTACAAGGATAAAAAATATTTTGTACTTATTTTACTAGTGATTATTCTCTTACTTTTGTGCTTCGTACAAAACTTGAGTGACTATGAATCCTGTCAACATTGTTAACAATTTGTCAGATTTAATTACTGCCAACTTGAATTGAGATTCCACTTCACTTGTAACTCAAGAAAAAATAGAATATGTGTGAAATAGAGACGTCGCTCTCACTTACACTCACACTACTGTTAATTTAAAGAAAACTTCCAATACGATGAAGTAGTGGTGAAGGTTTGCTCGTTCTCTGACCTCAAAAGAGAACAATGCAGAGTTCTCAATGACCTACAAAATGTGTTATACGTATCTACACATAATAATAGAGTGTAATGTAGTGCAACGGTCATGTATATCCGATACAATTATATCCAGTCGTATGGAAATCTTATTGAAGTACAAGCACTAGAAACTTTTTATCTTTAAAGCCTTCTGTAATTTCTTTGAAGATCGTACATCTTAAGATTTTCATCGGTTTTAGCTAAAAATTTCAAAATAGTATTCAGAATTGACCCGACATTCTGATCACAATTTTTAAAATTTTATTAAAAAGTTAATATTGAAAGTTTGATTTGTATGAATGCATCACCTATAATAATGTATAAGATGAAGGTGTGGATGTGGATGTGGATGTGTAGATGTTAGCTTATGCTTGACAAAACAGATAACACTCGCACACCCACACTCTATACATTATTATAAACGAAGCATTCTACGATGCATTTATGTAATCAAACTTTCAATATTGACTATTTTTATAAAATTTTCAATACCATGATCAGAATTTTTATTGAAGAAATTTTCAAATCAAAATTCATTGATTTCGTCTTCTTCTTGCTATCATACAATAAACTAAAAGTTCGGTAAAACAATCGTAACTCAAGATAAAATATCCGACAGAACGAATTATTTTTGCTCTTTAATTTATAACTTTAGTTCCTACTATGAAGTCGAAAAGAAAGATATCAATCAATTGGATATGTTACCTTATAAAAATATAAGCCATTGATATGTGTACAAACTGATGATAAAGATTTGGAAGAAAATAATCTAGAAATGAACTATAATATTCCATTAAATTTAAGCTTTAAAAAAAATACTTTACTGATAAATATCGAACCTCAATTGAAAAAGACCCGAAGATTTATTATTTAAGTAAATATGTAATTGCATTTATAATTTTTTCATAAAAAGAGATTTCTTTTCTTTTAAACAGCTATTGCTCATATAATGACAATATTCAATTATTTTTCAATTATACAGAACGTGATAAAGAAATTGAAATCACTTTTTGAACTGTAAAATTCCTTAATCAAATTATTTGTTTTTTTTTTTTGAAACATAATATGAGGAAAACTTGTGCTTCGTTTATAGAAATCTATTGATAATCTTATTGAAAAAAAATATCTTTTAACATTGAAAAAATACGTCGCAATATTTAGTCTAATAATTGATTGACATATTCAGTTTTATTAATTAAGATCTCTTTGATGAAAGTTTAACAATTAACCACGAATCTAGAATAAACATAAAAGAGCTATATCCTAACATACTTCAAGTCACATTTTCTTTCACATATAGAAATGCATCATTCCAGAAGAATAGTCTACAAACTCAATAATTCTATTTTTTGTTTGTGAATTATTTCAATTCTCGGAATACAAGTTAGCAGGTATAAGTTAAAATGTACATCGATAAATTTCAAACATAAATCTTTGATTAAATGAATATTAAAAATCTCATCATTGTAAATGACAGAAACTCAAATAAAACTCAGTGTGACAAATTTGTCTTATAATCGATAGAAAAATTATATTTCAAAGTTAGAAAAAAATCATAATCAATTGATATCTGTAACTTGTAATTTTTACCCAACTAGATACGTCCTCCATCTATTATGTATATACATTGGTTTTTATTTCACCTATTAGAAGCCTCTTCACGAATGACATAGAGAAAATAATCGATACGTACATATAAACCAAATATCGATATTTTTTCCTAAAAAATTCAGCAATGAATGAAGTAATTTTTTGTTAAAATTAATAATTAGTCATCATTCTTAAAGTTTAGGAAGAAATAGAAGTACTCAAATCGATTTATGAATCAGATCCAAATTTTTCTACTATCAATGATAATACATTTCAGTACAAAGTGAGCTTAGAATGTATGTTTGATTGAAATGAAAACATTTCTAAACAAATTTTTTTTTTTATTGTTAAATAAAGTATATCATCGATAATGATCGTTTCTATTTGGTGGAAATTAATTGGCCTGATGATTATCCAAATGTAATACCTAAAATTAATCTTGATTTATTTAGTAACCGTCTTTTGTAAGTTTATCTTAGAAAATTTTTTTTTTTTTTATTATTTCTGATTCCTTTTAGAACAAATGAGTTTAAAACAAAACTGATAGAAAAACTAACAACTGATGTATGATTGAAATTTTTTATTATATAATCGAAAATATTTATTTTTAGGCAAACGAACAATTGGGCATGCCAATGACCTATACTCTATTTGAGTCAATTAAAGATTTTTCATATGATGGTAATATTTTTCAAACTAATGCAGTAAGTATTCAATAGATATATTGTTTCTTTTGTTTGTTAAATATGACTTGAAATCTCTTTTATTGACAAGAGAAGTCCTTCAACTGAGAAATTACCTTTAAGTTCTAATTGTGTACTTTGGATAGACTCAAATGAACTCTGAACATCATGAAAAGAGTTGGCATCTTTAACTTATTGTTGTGGAGACACTGCAGTTTTAAAACATTCTTAGATGAATAGCATAGTATCATAAAAATTGATGTTCGAATTTCGAATTGAGACTTTGCGTAGAGACAAACCTTGACAAGAGTAGTATTATGTCTTCTGATTTGATTTCATCCAGAAATAAGAGAATATCAAATCTATTGGTTTATATGAGCAATGTAAATGATATGCTATTACTACAATTGTATTTTACATTAGGAACAGCGACAAGGTCTGAAATATTTCTAAAACAATTATTCTTGTCAAGAATCAGTTAAAGGCCCAAATTCTTTTCAGAGCATTCGCTGTTCGTTTGCATCTGCATAATCCACATAATTTCGACGCCAAAAGTGATTTATCAGTTGGAGAACTTATCTCTTAAGATAAATTTAATTCTATCATGTTCTACATTTTATTTTTTTTAAGATTATTCGCAAAATTTTCTGTTTTTTTTTTTTTTAAGGTATCCAGTATCAATGTAACAGTACCATCGTCAACTACAACAACTCCTTCTGTATCAAGTGCACCGGTTATAAAAAAAGAACAATTAACTAAATCTCAAAAACGTCGTCAATGGAATCATCGAGTTGTTGGTGAAGATGGACAAAGACCTCGTGGTCATGATTGGGTTGATATTGTTCGACATTTATCTCAAACAGGAAATAAAGTTTAAAGTTAAATCTCTTTGTTTTATTATGAAATAAAAAAAAAAAAGAAATGAAATTGTAACATCTAATTTAAGATGATTTTCCAAACAAATATTTCATTTGATGATGTTGTTATTAATATATCATTTGATTTATTAAATTTTATATTTGATACTTTATCATTATGACCAATAAAATCTTGAAATGTTTCCTGAGTATAATCTTTTAATTGTATTAAACGATCTTTTGTACCAATAGCTATTAAATAATTCTTATTTTTCATAGTTAATAAATCAAAACATGAACACCATTGATTTAATAATATTGTTCGTATAATTTGTTTTGTATCAATATTATATATTTTTAGACATTGTTCATTATCATAATCCGTATATATAATTAAATTAGTATCAATAAAATGTGCTAAACTTGGTGGAGATGATTGCCAATTAGTTGTTGTATGAGATGTAGATAATGTTAACCAATCGATACATGAACATAAATCAAATTGTTGATTTGATTTCCATAAACTAATACGTCGATCATGACTAGTAATTAACCACATATAAAAATTGTTTTCTAGTAATTTTTTTGAATCAATTATACAAATTGGTACTGAATGACAATGTTCATTCAATACACGTAAGATAATACCTTGTACTAAATTTGATATTGCAACAGAACCATCCAATGCACCGGAAAGACAAATTATTGCTAAAATTATTTATAAATATTATTTTAGAAAAGAAATTATGTTTTTTTTTTTTGCTTTTTTTAAATACAAACTATGCAAAGGAATATGAATTGCAGTTATTGATGATGCATGTGGTTGTAATTTAAGTTGCATTTGTTCATGTAAAATATTAAAAATTCGTATTGTTCCATCATTATATCCAGTAACAATTGATCGAATAGTTGATTTTATATTTTTCATAGAATTTGTTGTATGAAGTGAATTATTCGTTAATACAATAGAATTATCCCATGATGTTAAACAAGTTACTTGCTAAAGTATTCAAGAAAAACAAAACAAAATGATATTAATATATCGACATGCATTGAATCCATGTTTGGGTTCACAAACTTTTTTAGCATGTTGGCAGATATTTGAGTTTCAAATCATCTATTCTATTGAGTATAGATATCAAGATCAAACATTCAGATTCAATGCATGCCTAATTATATATATATATATATAAGATATTAAAACATACTAATCCATTTGTATTAAAACGAAGAATTTCATTTCGATCATCTAATTGAAAGATTCGTATTGTACCATCAAGACTACTTGTAACAATATGAGTATCTTCAATAGGAATTAAATCAGTTATTTTATCTGTATGTGATGCAACAAGTCGAGTTATTGATCGATCAGTTGTCCAACAAATATACCATAGAGATCCACATAATGTACCAATAATACCCATGTCGAATGTACTATCAAATGATCCACTTATTATTCCATCATCTAATTGAAATTCATCTTGCATTTTTAAACTATAATTTCTAAAATAAAAAACAAAATAAATTATCCTTAATATCGAAGAAATTATCAAAATTCTATTTTAAATTTACGAATCAATTGAATTTAATTGTCCTAAATTTGTTTCAAGAGTTTCTATATTCCATAGTTTTAAACATCCTGTTGATGATCCAGTCAATAATTTATAATTCGTTGTTGCTATATAACATATTTCATTTGAATCAGCTTTCCAATGAAGAATACATAAACTTAGACGACTATTCCAACATGTTATTAAACCATTATTTGTTGCACATAAAACAAGATTTACAATTGATGTTAAATAAACACATGCTGTTATATCACATGATGTTTTTTTATGTTCATTTAATAATAATGGAATTTGTTCATTAACAACTTGCAAATGTAATTTCTTATCATCTGCTTGTTCAATAATGGTACAAAAACGAATAAAACCATGTGAACCACCAAGACAAAATTCATTAGTCCGTATTGGATTCCAAGCAAGACAATTTATATAAAATGATGAATGTTCATCGTGCCAGTTCAGTAAATGTGTAAAGTTATTTTTTGACCATAGGCTCATCATTGGTTTTCGATAATTACCAATTGTAATAAGAAAACGATCATCTCTATAAATCAATAAAGTATAACATAAAAAGTCTTTCTAATTTTCCTACTTCGAAAAAGCCATGGATTGAATTGCTTGAACTGATACATGAAAATATGTTTTTTGTTGAAGTGTTTTTGTGTCCCAAACAATCATCTTTACTTGTAATTCTTCTTTCTTTATTGGTATTGAACATTGAGCACTGACTAAAATCGTTGCATCACTTGATAATGTTATAGTTGATATTTCTTCTGTATGTCCTAGTCAAGGAGAGAAAAGAAAAAAGTACAAATGTATAATAATCTGTTAAATATTAATCATTATATTCTAATTACCAGTTAAAATAGTTTGATGATTACTATTTAGATTTTCTACAATAATATTACAACCAACAGTATATGCAAAAAAACCTGTATGAGGATGCCAAACAAGATTTTCACGTCCGTTACCATTGTAACCAATAATTGTTTGAAGTTTTAGATTTTCTTGATTAATTGGTGCTATATATCGTTTCTGAATATGTATAAAAATATTTATTTATGTTTTATTTTTAAAGAAAATAATAGACTTACTTTTGCTAATTGTGAATGATTAATTCTTTGAATGAAGTGACGTCGAATAGATGATAGAGAAGAAAAATGCTCATTATCAGTTTGTTTTGTTAGTAATTTTTTATTAATAATTTTTCTTAAAAATTTTATAATCATAATTTTAAATAGAAAATAAAAGTCAATTGTTTACTTTTCTTCTTGAAAGATATTCACTGTTTTATCAATTTCTAAATTTGATAATGATCGTGTAATAGCACGTTCGTTTGTTTCTTGAGAAACATGAAATAATTCTGATGAATTTCTTGATTGATCTGAACTTGATCGAACTAATGTATGTTCAAGAACTTAAGAAAAAGAATTCTTTCTTTCTAAATTTTCAGATTTTTATAATTTACTTTTTGTCATCATCAACTGTGGAGAAACAATACATTGTGCATTACTAAAATCATTTTTCGATTTAGAACTTTTGTTTTTAGATGAAATAAACTTTCTTACTTTGGCATTTTTGGTGGTAAGGTATTCCAAGCAAGAACATTCCATATTAATATTGAATCTCCAATACTTACAACATGCATATTATCATCAGTAAAAAATACTTTTCGTACTTGTTCAGAATGACCAATGAAATTCTAAAATGACATTTATGAAAAATTTTCTTTTGTTTTTATTTTTCATGAAACCAAATTTACTTGAAAATTTATATCTAATTTCATATTAGCATCCCAAAACTTTAACATACCATCACCACCAGTTATGAGATATTGACCATTTGAAGATAAAGTTAGACTATCGAATGAATGTTTGTGGATATTATCAATCTATAATATAAATTAAATTAAACAGAAAGAAATTATTCAATCGTACAATATTCAATAGTTTTCCAGTATATGAATCAAATTTAAGTAATTTAAAATTTGCTGTTGCAACGAATAGATATCGATTCGGTGTAAAACGTGCAAATAAAGCTGATTCTAATGATGTTATTGTTTGTTGATCATTTGTCATTAATGTACAATTGCTTATATCAATTTGTAATGTTTGACTAAGAGTATTTATTTCAATAATTGTAACAATAAATTTTGTAGGTCCAACATAAGCTGCATATTTACCATCTGGACTAATCGATAATGGCGGTGGTCCTTTTTCTGATGCTATTAAAGCTTTAGCAACAGTTTTTTGTAATTTATAATTATCATTAGCATCTGATAAACATAAATCACCTTCTTCATCACTACTTAATAAATATGATCCATTGTGAGAATAGAGTAAACCGATAATACTCATATTATGATGCCTACAAAGAAATGTGTATACGTCGAAGTTATTTCTTCTAGTAGATCTAATTTGTAATTTGAATATGATCTCTACTAGTTAATTACACAATTACATACGATTAAGTTGCGTTAGAGAATTGAACAAAGTCATCTGTCTATCTTTAATGTTATCATTTTTTTTACAAACAATAAAAATCGTTATGCAATAATTAATTTTCACAAAAAATTAAACTGTTCATTATTATTCATAAATAAATTGTTTGAATACAGTATGTTTTGATAAGAATTCTAGATATATAACCACTGAAAAATGAGTTAATTTTAACTGAACGAATCAACTAATTTTTCACATTATGTTACACTCTATAATAACTATGTAGTTTCGTATTTAAGAAGTTACGATTAGAATTGTGCAAAATGTAGTTTTTTTCAGTCGTCATAACTTTGATCTGTTCATATAAGTAATATGAATTTTGCTGCACTGACTTTTACACTAAACTATCGACAATAAATAATTTACTATTGTCGAAAATTCATTGATGAAAACTTGTTTGGCCTTTTGAACAATATTCTCTATCAATAGTACACAGATTTTATGATTCTATACTAAGATTATTTAGACAGCGGCGCATGTCATTAGCGTACATCATGTATCACAAGTGTTCAATGACAGAACTACTTATAAAATCAATCAGATACTAAATGATTTTCATACAAGACAAACTTTGTAACAATTGTTTGATTTTTACATTGAACAATAACATTTGTATTATTTCAATACACGCTACCTTCTGTTCAAACAGTTTTCTGTACATGTGTCATACCTGACGTGATATTTGATGAGATATGACTTGAAATCATTGAAAAAGCCGAACTTGTGTTTGTTAATTTTCTAATTACTGTACGTTGATAACGATGAATTAATAGTTTATTACTCATGACCGAAAGTTCAATTTTATAAACATTAGCAATTACTGTATTTAAAACTGTTGCCCTTACCCAAATGGATCTAATAGTCATCAGTAACATTTTTGTTGTGTCAAAGGTAAAAGTTCTTTAGCAATAGGAAATTCGAAAATTGCTTAAAAGCTGCTGTAAAAATTAATCCTACGACATTTCTATTTTTTTTTCATATCAATTTTTTTACACTCGAAAAAATTTCCTTACTTGATTTCATTTAAAATAATTGATGTATTCAGATCAAACATTTTTATTGTTCCATTATTAAATCCACATGCAAATATTTGTCGATTTGGTGTATATGTAACAGTTAATGGTATTTCTCGTTCCGAAGTAAATTCTGATAATTGTTTACCCGTACGAAAACACCATATTCGTATGGTACCATCTTGTCCTACACTAATTAATTGTTTTCTCATATCATCATAATCAATATCAGTAATGAACTTAGTATGTGTATGCATCAAATTTAAATGTGATTTTGTAATAAGATTTAATATATTAAGTGAGCCAGATATTGTTACAATTAATATTCGTGTTTGATCATATGATGATATTAAACCACAAATAGTTTGATCATATTTAGCTTCAATATAAATTTGAGAAAAATCTATTGACCAAACACGAATATATCCATCATAAGAACCTGTTATAAAAAAATTATCTGTACATGTTAATGCAGATATACTAAATGATAATCCTTTATTCATGATAATTTTATCAGATAAATGATTAACTTTAATTATACGTTTTTCATCATATAATAATTCTAATATATGACCTGCTTTTGTTGCTATATAAATAATTGATTCATTTAATTTATTATTAGATAAATGTTGAAATTGTAAATCAATATATTCTAAATGATCAATATCATTCGCTAATATATTTATTGATTTTAAATCATTTTCATTTCTAATATGCCATAAACGTATATTATCTAAACCAATGGATATAAATTTAGTTGTATTATATGGAACAAAACGTATATGTGTTATTGATACATTTGTCATTGCTTGACATATTAATTCAATGGAATATTTAGATACATGTAATACATTATAAACAGAAATAATTGTATGAGATTGTTCATCATGACCAACAACAACTAAAGATGAAGAAGAGTTTCCTATTCCAAAATCAAGTGCATGTAAATCTTGTGTATTAAGAACACGAATGGCAGCAATACAACGACGAGTTTCAAATTTCCATAAACGAAGAATAGCTAAGATAGACAATATATACACATTTAAAGTACTGGTCAAAATTATAAAATCAAACGTATTCTGCTTTTCTTTTCTAATTACAATGCCAAGCATTTACCTAAAATTGAAATAGTATTTGGAACAGCCAATGAGGTTCTCTATCAAATGCGTTCGTTTTTTAGGTCCTATAATACTGTGAAAATTGGTTTCTAAGAGTACTATCTTAAAGAGTACAACATTAATAGGTTGTTACATTTCCTATAAACTTCTCTTAATAAGTTTTAAACGTCACAAAATATGAAAAACGAACTTTATCATAGCATTGCTAAAAAATCGTATTGCTTTTAGTGATATTTCTCATTTATTAAGGAATGGTAGTAGGAAATACAGTAATTCTTCTTTTTACTCAGGTTTATGTGCTCTTTAAGATTGTACTTTTCAAAAAGCTAATTTTCACATAGTCTTCTGGGATCTGAATACTCTTTGAAATTTCCATATGAAAAAAATTCCAAAATACTTTGTTCTTACATTTTTGATCAAGACTGTATATTAAATATTTTCATAAAACTTTATTCCTTACCATTGGGTCCTGTTTGTATTGTTGCTAATAATGATGAATTACTATTAAATGCAATAGCAGTTATTTTATCTGTATGTCCAATAAAAAACCATTGTTGTTGTGTTTCAATATGCATTTGAACAACAATAGCATTTGATGAATAAACTACATAATTACCATCTTGTGTCCATAATAAATTATTAAAACCACTGCTTAGACCAATAACAGTTTGTAAACGAAGTATTGGATCTGGAAGAAGAGTTGTAAGATGATGAGATTGTTGAGAATGATCATTTGTTAAAGCAAGATCATAATTAGAATTATCAGTCGTTGAACATATAGATCGAATCGTTTGTGGATTAACAAATAGATGAATACCATCATTATTATTAGATAAACTAGAAGAATCATTTACAGTAGGTAACGATGGAAAACGATCAACCGAATTATAGTATGTACGCCAATTGAGCTAAATAAAAGTAAAAAGCTGTATGTGCTCTTCTTGTACGGATACATTTCTTTAGCATCCTTTTTTCTTAATCGTTCAATAATACAATAAGGAAATAGTTCATATATTATAACGAGATATTGTCATGGTTACATCTGTGAGGGGGGAGTCCAATTTCTAACCTCTATACTTAAATATTTTTTGTAATTATTACAATACCTGATTATCTCTTGGAGATACAGATCTATGTGTAATATGTGATAAATCAGTTATTGATGTATTAATTTGTCCATTGACTAGTGTTGTTTGAGCAGTTACTGGAAATGCTTCATTATGTTCAATTTGATTTAAATTTTGTTCATCTGTTTTTAATTTTCTTGGTGTTGGTAAACGTACATTACCAACTTTATCAAATGGTTCACTTGGATTTTTACCCATTAATGATGACATATTTGGAAACATAATAAAATCATATTTATCATGCCAAGATTCACTTTTATCAATTGGATATGATAATTCACGTGGTAATGAACGTATACCAGCACGTGTTAAACCTGTTCGTTTAGCTGTATCATTATCAATACCAGGTTCATATAAAAATTGTGATGTAAAACAATTTTTAACAAAGATATTTCCACATAATTGAATTGATTTTATCATATGATAATGTTCATTTGTCATATATGTTAATAAAATTGTTTGTAAATCTAAACATAATACAGACCAATGAATATCTGTACCTGTTGTCATATAAGGAAATTGAATAGATGCTTGGGTTATTTTAAATTCACGATATAAATTTGATAATGATATACGTATAAGATGTTGTTTATGTGTTAGAATATCAATATGTATACAAAAATATTTATCATATATTGGTCGGAATAATATATAAAATAAACGACCTGTTAAACTAAGATTTTGATTTAATGATTCAGATGGAAATTGTATATAATTATTTTCTGGCACTAAACCACGTATACGATATACAATTGATTTCAGATCACGATCCTAATTACAGAAAGAAAAAATGATTAGTTTTAGATTACGATTTTTTTTTTAAAGAAGAATTCATATTTTACTATGATAGTTGAAATGTCTCCTTGTTTGACACATTTTTTAGATGAAGTTATATCAAAATGTTTAAATATATTAACAAATGGATGCTGCCATGAACTACTACTACTCATCGTTTTAAAAGATTAATGATTGATGTATTTCTTTTCAGATCTACCATGAGTATTGAACTAGAGAGGTCAAGTCGCTTAGCAGACTATCAAAATTGTATTGAACATATGGTTTATATAAGTGACATCTATTACAATGTAAACCAATAGTGGAATCGATTCGTCTTGTCGACCTCGAATAGCTTGTTTGTGGGATATTTTTTTACATAATATGCACCTTCTTCACTCATGTTGCTCTTGTTATCTGTTATTATATTTATATCAATAAGTCAAACAGGTGCACAACGCGTAGAAGAATTTCAATCTAAAATATGAGAGTAATTCTAATCGGTGCTGGTATATCAAATGCTTTAATATCTCTTTTACTTCGTCGTCAATATGGTGCTGAAATAAAACTTGTTGTCTTCGATAAAGCCAGAAGCATTGGTAAAAAAAAATACGTTTTTACTTTTAAAAATTTTTATTTTTTTAATTATTTAAGGTGGTCGAATGACAACTAGTTATGATAGTGAAGAAAATCGTCATTGTTATGTTGATATTGGTGCTCAATATTTAACATTAACTAAATCAAACAGTACAACAACAAAGTAAATTTGATTTGTTCTTAAAAAAATTTAAATAAATGTTATAATTAGATTTTTTCAACAATTA